AATGCCAACAATAGAAAACCATAATCATTTCATTTCAAAGTCCCATATACACTCTTCCTATATAGCTAGCTCCATTATTTTTCCAAAATGAATAGTTCCTTCAATTCCCAAAACTTGCAAAAATACTCAAAACACAACAAAAAAAGGCTAAATCAAGAACAGGTTAAGCTTTTAGAGGCGAGTTTCGATTCAACTAAAAAACTCGACTTAGAGAAAAAACTCCAATTATCAAGAGAACTAGGGGTTCCGCCGCGACAAATTTCGATTTGGTACCAAAATAGGAGAGCGCGATGGAAAAATCAGAGCATGGAAAATGACTACAATGCCCTTCAACTCAAGCTTGAAAATGCATTATCTGAGAAAATGCTACTTGAAAAAGAAACTAAAATTCTTCAAGGAGAGTTGGAAAAAGCAAATGAAATGTTAATTGGACTGAAGTCAGGTGCACAAGGGCAAATTAGGGAATTCACATTGTCTACATGTTGTGAAGATTTGATTAGCTATAGTACTACTACAAGGGTACCTAATGATGAGGTTAATTATAGTAATTTGCAATTTGATGAACTTTATGCTATGATAGGTATGTCCAATAAATGTTGTTCAACTTGGTGAAATCAATAACAATTGTGGGAAATTTAATGAGAAAAGATCTCATATTCTCAATTGTACAATGATCTTTTTTTTTTTAAGACTTTCTTTGTATACTTAATAATTATCTTTCAAACAAAATTTTACATGAGGAATCAATACAATGATTTTGGGCTAATTTAACGTGAACATATCTAAATGTTTATGATGTACACATGCTAGCCTTTTATTGTATATGCATCTTGTATCAAAACTACAAGTGAATATACAACAAATCGGCCTTGTAGACGGGGAAAGGAAGTAAGTCAAGCACCCCCACGTACGTCATCGTTCCATCATCTAATTATCTTAATGAATTATTAACTCTGATATTAATGAATGAGTTAAATCAATTCAAAAATATTCTCATTATATATTCTCAAGTCTACTAAATTTTCTCAATAGACCTTACCAACATTAAGAATAGCTCCATATTATATATATATGTTTTTTTATTAACTTTTAATGTGAAATTTTATTCGCACGTCATATAAATGATGATTTGAGGGACGAAACATCATAAATGGAACTCTCAGGGCCTCTTTGTAGCATATGCAAAGTTTATACCTAAATATGTATTTTTATAAAATTACTTTCTGCCCTCGCGCTTCTACTACAAAAAGGTCACTTTTCCCTCCAAATTTTAGAAGAAGAAAAAAAGGGAACAAATAAAAGCTACTGTTTGAGTTCAAACGACGCCGTAAAATACTCAGAATGGCGTCGACGTCCGGCGCAGGCAGCGGCGTAGCTGCCGGAAGGATCAGATCTCATACATCGGCGCTGTATTCCGACAGTCAATCCCTCATCCTTGTATCATGCTTGTTCTCGCAACTTTTGAAATTAAACTTTAAATTTCAATTTTTTCGTTCTGAATCGGATTGCTTTCGTTTTCTATTGCAGGAAATTAGGAAGTCTGTGACTATGATGAAAGATATTGCGGTCCACTTGGAGAGAGATGAGAGAACCCAAATGGTACTTCAAGATAAACCCTAGTTATATGTTCAATTCTTTTTGTTCTTAAATATTTCTTTTGTAATCAGTGCTATGTGAGCAATATATGTAGTATTGAACTTGAATCTCACCTTAATTTTTTACTTTTACATTGGTTAGTTTGAATGCTTATAATTATTTGTGCTCCCTTTGTCTCAATTTATACGGTGTTTAACTTACACTTTTGAAATTTGTGGTTTAAAACACTCATTGACCATCAGTGTGACTATGAATCAATCACAAAGGGTTTAGTTAAATTGTTTTTTTATTATAGAAAGGTGACATTCTTTTTCGAATGGCCTAAAAGGAAAAGTGTCTCATAAATTGGGATAGAGGGAATAGTGGTTTTGGTAATTTGTACTTTATCTTCGTCTGTCCGTCCCAATTCCAAACTGTTCTGCTTTAACTTGATGTGCTTGTCAAATGACCAAGCTTAGGTTCACAAAAAGCTTTTGAAAATAATGTAGTAGACAAGCTTTTCTTCAGAAGAAATGGTAATATTGCTATTGGGGAGTTGATGCAATATTTCTTTTGACTACATAGTTCATAGTAGTCTCTATGTAGTGTTTTTTTCAAATATAATTTTAAAGAAGTTAAGAAATTTATGTTTGAATTCACACCAAAAATTTGAGGTGCTTACACATTCTTTACGGACGAGGGGGTAAATTTCTAGAAATACTACCCAATTTTGAAGCTTTGTTAGAATAATCATGTACATAGTCCATTGTGTTTCTTTTGACTTTTGGTACCAGTGTAATCTGCAATAGGAACTGAACCTCTAGTCAGAAATTGAACAAAATACCGGTTCAATGAAGCTATTTGAAGGTTATAATTATCCTGACTAATTGAAGAATAAACTGGCTTGATAGTACTCGATTCCACCTATCAGAATGTAATGACTGATGATAGAACACATAAGGTTAGTTTCCTCAAAATGTTTAGGTGAATTATATGTTGGTAGCTAGCAGATGATGTGTTATCCTGTAAAGTTGTTGATGTTAACCAGTTAAAAACTGATCCAAATATTGTTCAATATTATCAGGAACCATACAATTTCTTTCTTGATGGAATGTAAATGAGTTTGGCTTATTCTGTTGCAGGTAAAAGATCTTGAAGATGGTGTTGTTCAGTTGTTGGCAGCATCTGATGAGTGCATGCATCTATCTGAGGCAATTCAGTCTATAGGTGATACATTAGAGCCTGGGCCAGAGGTGACCTTTTGTTTTAATTATATATATTGGTCTTCTGCTGCTCAGCTTGGACTGTTAAGATTTCAATTATATGCATGCAGCCAACAAATTTCAAGAAGAAGTTTGACGAAGAAATTGCAAAATCAAAGGCTAGATCATCTTCTCACACTCAGAACCAGTCTTTGTTGAGAAAATTCCGGGAAGCCGTTTGGGTATGTTTTTCTTGTTACTTGTACAACATTTTGTATTCTTGTTTGGAAGAAAAGCAATCTTACTTGTATTGATCAAGAGCACTGAGAAGATAACTCAACCCTCCTGTGCTGAAAAAAACAACAAAGAAAAGGGAAAAAGAGAAAAGAGCGGTAAAGAAGATGAAAGAAAAAATAATAATAAAGAAGAGAGAGATGGTCCAAGCAAAAAGGGAGACGTTTTCCTCTTGAATGCCACCATCTGCTTTCTCCATTTAACTATGTCCACTGGATGACTATTTCCATTTAGAATCTCCTTTTATAGTTTTGATTAATTTTTAGTCTAAATTTATTAATTTGTCCGTTATATTATTTAGGGGCCCTGTTGAGTAACCTCTTATGGGTAATTGAGCTCTTTCTTTCTTCTGCAGCATGTTCATCACGAAGGACAGCCAATGCCAGGTGACGAGCAGGAGGACATTGTAATGACCAGTACACAGTGCAACCTTCTGAATGTGACTTGCCCATTAAGTGGAAAGCCCGTTATTGAACTTGTTGAACCAGTTCGTAGGTATAGTGAATATCTTTCTTCAATTTCATACATATCTAGGTTTCCAATGGAGAGGGTGCTTTAGACATGAGCATCTGTAGATAGTTACCCGTGTAAGTGCTTTTCATTTGCATATATATATTTGATATGATCTATTCTCCCACTTGCCACTATACTAAGGTTCATTGCTCTGTGTATTCTTGGTTCAGATGCTATAACCTCAATCCAGTACACCACTACACTCCTGTCTCAAATGAGGCTTTTTATCACTATATTGTAACTAACTCTCAATTGAACTGTTGACCCCAACAATTGGTTTTATTATAGTTTCTTTCAGTTATTAAGTTTTAATGCACATCGGTAAGTAAGGCACATCAATTCTGTTTAAGAGTGCGGGAATGCTTCCTTATATTTTCTCTTCTCCCCATCTCAGAGTTTTGCACACAACCTCTTCTTTATTTTTTTTTGGGTCACATTCTTAGTTTTCTACTTTTTACCCAGTAATTCTGCATGTACAGGCTGATTAGAATTTGTCTTAGAAATTTCCTTTCCGCATGTTCCTTTAAATATATGGTTTTCATATTTTGTTCCTTGTAGCATGGACTGCAAGCATATATACGATAGGAAGGCTATCATGCAGTACATGAAGAAGTCCAAAAGCACACGTGGCCAATGTCCCGTTGCAGGTATTTGTGTTTTTCCTAACAAAACTGGGTTCCTATTCATTCAATAACTAAATGCAAGTTAATTTTCTGTTCTTTCAGGTTGTCCGAAAATTCTGAAGGCGCAAAGGGTGTTATGTGACCCTTTCTTACTTATAGAAATTGATGAAGTCCGCTCTATGAATAAGCAAAATGCTAGACCTGATGCGATAGAAGATTTTACTGCGCTGGATGAAGATGAAGATGATTGAGGGTTTTGAGGCCCTGATGGACCCTCTAGAATCTAGATATCTAAATATTAAGGGTTCTACTCATGAACAGCTTATGTTTTCTGTGGAAAAAGAAAGCCTTGTTCTTAATCTTTTGGAAGTTATTTTGATTCTCTTTCCCAAGAAGGGGACATGAATATTTTAAAATTCCTTGAAATGACCAACTTGTGCATACTTGTATAAATTGCAAATGGACAATTTTAATTTTCTCTCATGACAATGTGACCTAATAACAGTTAATGAAGTAGATTTAAAATTATGAGGTTTTAGTTTCAAAGTTACTCGATAATTGTGTTGGTGAAAAGATAAGCAGGTAAACGTTCCAAAATAAATATACGATGTTAGATTGAGATGGAAGGATTACAGCTCCCAAAAATAGTCTCTCAAAGCTCAACAACAATTAGTTCAGAAACTTGCGTAAACTATAAGTTAACAACAATGCATCCAGCACCACAATTGCATCAGCAGTTATAGAAACAGAAAATAGACGCAACAAAGAGTCGAGCCACTGTGAACGTTGAAGATTAAAAAAAAATAGAACTGAAATAGAAAGCCAAAATTTTGATTTTTACATCTCGGAGTTCAACTTCCACTATTACATTGCAATTAACAAAAAAAATTCCGGCATACGCCAATAAATCAAGTGTTTTTTTTTCTCATTTCTATCCAGTCTACAAGAGAACAAAGGCACAAAGTCTCAAATTTACAATGAGTAGAGACATTCTTCTCATCTAAATTGGTCAGTACACCATCTCTAAATATAAAATCCTGAGACAAATTCTGAGAAGATTTGCATTTCTCAGTTTGGTCACTGCTTTTCAAATGGCAGTTGCATTCTATCAGCTTGATTAACCTGTTCTCTAAGTTTCTACATTCACAAAAGTTAGTTTTCTTGCATTCAGAGGATTCACCGTACCTTTCTTGTACTCGCTTCTCATCAAATGAAGTTGAATCATCAGCCAACAACCATACCCTCAAAGCCGAATGAAGATTTGCAGCTAACGAGGCCAGAAAGTCATAAGCATCCTCTACTATAAACTCGGCCTTTTTAAGTCCCCACTCGTAGGAAAGCATTTTTTTCAAGGTGCGCTGAAGGTTCAGCAGGCACTGAGGACAGCACCGATATAAACACACTATGCTAGAATCAATAGAAAGATTGGAAGATATATTTGAACATTCAAGACCTAAGCTATTGCCAACAGACTTTTGGTTGCTATCTCCAATTTGAAGGTTGTTCGGAGTGGACAATCTGCCATTTGAGTTGGAACTCAACGTATAACTAGAATGCTCATCAATACCACGCCCGTACCTGGAATGATTACTACCATCCTCTTGAATGAGCCCATTAGATTGTCTCTTTAATACACAATCTCCAATATTTCCTAAATGTTTGTCAGTATCATCTGGCATGCATGAATTATCATTAAGAACACTGTGCTCAGAACTAGTAACTTGCCTAGAAGGGACAGAATGGTTTACAGCCACCAAGTGGGGAGGCTCACGTTCTACAGCTCCAATATCTGGAAAATTAGAAACACCATATGCTTCAGGAATAGCAGGCGTACAATTTTCAGCAGTTAGTTCTGGACGACATGTTTCCAACGTCTCAGCTTTCTCAAGAAATTCTTCTGGCTTGCAACCTCCTTCCCTCAGAGGTGTATTCTCAGGAGCATCAGCGCTTTCTGGAAGTCCAGCACAACTAATCTTTGTGTTTGCCTCTGCAAGTTGAGTCTCTCCCCCTAAACTGAAAGTAAAGCCATTTACATTAGATGTAAGGCTCGCAATAAGAAACCAAAGATAACTGTACATGAACTACAGCTAGAGCAAAACTTACCTCTGCAACGAATAAACCCAGCTATTAACCAAGTCATCGAGATAAGCAACTTGGGATAAAAGACGAACAAATTGATATCTATCCCTCCCATTCCGAATTTTATCATTGATCTGTTCAACCAGAAGCTCAAGAACTTTTCGAACCTCTGCAGAAACTTCTCTGACGGATGAATATTTGCCTCTGTATGCCAACAATCCAATGGCTATCAGGCCTCGCACCATACAGTATTTCTCTTTGCCTTTATTATTGTTGAGTGGAAGGGTAACATTTCCTATTGAGATAACAGGACGAATGACACAAGAATTGAATGGCCAACCCTTCCAAGGTCCATTTATGTCAACACAAGGACCTTCTCTTAATTTGGATGTAAACCAGCAAAGTTCAGCAAAATGAGGATATCTCAGAATTTGATAGCCAAATGTGGTAATTGCTAACATCAAGTTTGATTTCCCTTTTACATTTCTACTGTTGGCTATTGCAGAAGTAGGAAGTGGACATTGTTTATTCACAGGCTCAATGGTTGATCTAAGATCTGACCTCTGACATTCTATGGCAGCATCACCCTCAGATTTATCACTAGCTTCATCATTGCATGTCTGCAAGTGGACATGGTTTGTACGATGAATCAGCTGAATGAAGTGCTGAGCTAAATCTTTTGACAACTTAGCGGCTGAGGAATCAATCAGACATTCTTCATCAAAATTTCTATCAAGCTGCTCAGAAAATCTAGAAACTGAATCCTCCAAGGGAAATAGGATACTGTTGTTCAACGCCTGACTTTTAAAGAACTGCCTCACTCTAATAGGGAGTGCTTCCAATGGTACATCAGATGTAGCCTGTTTAAGGAAAACAGGAAAAGGGTGTGGGGTGCAAAAGAGTGAGTTCTTTTGTTGTAAAGTAATTGCACAATCTAGGATTGTCTAATTAAAAGAATTAAAATTGAAGAGAATCATATTGTATGCCACATGCGGCTTTCTTGTTTCCACATCAAGATGTATTCCTTTAACATAATATTCAGAAAGATATAAAGGGTCCCAAGCAAATTTAAGGACAAAAGGCACATACCAGAAGCATCAAGGATGTGGCCATGCATATACTTTCCACTTGCTCAACAAAGGAGCTCCACAGATAGGAGGCTCTTTTGAGAGCATCTCCAGCCTGCTCAGCACTATGGTTAAAGCTCCTTTCCTTGTCCTTGCCTAATGATTCAGGGTTTACTAAAGAGGAACCATCATCTTGACAGACTAGGTCAGATGTCTCCATGGCCCATAAATCAACTCTTGGCATAAATATCATGCACTTATCCACACTAGCACATCTCACTGCACATGAGATACAAATTTACTGCTTAAGTAAGATGTTCAAAATTTAACGAATCAATTTTAAAACAAGTAATTCCTCAAGCATACTAGCATAGTTTCAGAGGCCTTTCGTGCCCACAAATAACCTTTCTTTTAAAAAAGGCTATGTACACAAATGACCATTTAGCATCCTCGAGAAGACCAATGAGAGAGAAAAAAAGCCAAAGCACCTTCATCACAATGATTATAAAAACTTTATGCAGATTTATTTGGCTGACAAGATTTTATTTTTTTTTTGAGCAAGGTAAAGTTATATTCTTCAGCAATGTGGGTATGCTGTCAACCATCAAAAAAAATTACAGTGCAAGTAATCATAATTACAGATAGTCTAAGAAGTCTACTGGCTGTTCAACCTCATCTATACTTTCTTCTTTACACCAAAGATATAAAGTATTAATGCAGTTTTCTTTTACTTTCAGCATTGGATTAGTAATATTCTCAAAACATCTATTGTTTCTTTCCTTCCAGACTGACCACCATATGCAAGAAGGGACTAGGCTCCACCATTTTTTCTGTTTTTTACTCCCACCTCTTCTCATCCAGCAGGTTAGAAGATCTGCCGCATGCTCAGGCATCACCCATGGTTTTTGGATGTGATTAAGAAGCATATGCCACAACCTGAAGTCACTCTACAATGGAGGAACAAATGGCTATTTGTCTCAAAACCTCTCTTTTTCAGTTTCTCCTGAGTGAGACATGCTCTTCTACAAACCTTCCATGTGAAACCCTTAATCTTGGTAGGGATATTTAGATTTCCATATTTGTTTCCAAGGTCCAGGGATGTTCCCATGTTGTGAGATCAAATTTCTTCTGTACAATCTTCCGCTCACAAGATATAAGACGTGCTACATGTTATTTGTTACAATCACATTCAACCATGATAACTATACTCACCACAATTTCTGCACGGCACTCATTGAAACAATACAGAACAGTTATAAGTACCTCAAAATTCAAATACTTTTCACATGATTTTTGATTGCAAGCAATTAATCAGAATAATATGGTGAAGGTACTAAGATGTTGCAAAACCTATGGTGCTAACAAGTTTGGAAGATAATGTAGAAGGGAAACTTTCACAAGATGGAGTGCATTAATAAGGAATCTCTCTTTAGAATGGAACTGAGTTGTTGGGAATAGAAATACTTTGAGAACTGATATCAAAACTTGGAGACAAGGTATCCCGAACTCACAAAGGCAAGTTCAGTAGACGTTTGTACTTCAAGTAAGCACTTTGAGCCACTAAGATGACATAAATAAAACAGAGAAGGAACATACTCAGTATCTGCGTCAACCCCTGAATGATGTCTCCATGTCCTTCTTGAGAAATAGTAGCCAAATCCACCTTCTGGACATCAACATTACCAACAAAACAATGAAGAAGAGAGGAAGCAAGATGCCTTTGGCCAGATCTTGGGTTTCCAGAAATTAGTATTCTAAATCCCGATTTGTTTCCGGCCATATGAAAGATATTCTTCAACAATTTAGGCCGAGCCCCTGCCAACTGCAATTTTGATGGTTGAGAATTAGAGAGACCATGAACAATGCCATCATCAACAGCATCAAAACCACCAATATTAGCATCTCCATCCAGAATGTTGGCACGTACAAAGTGATTCTCAATCTGACTGATAACATCTGGTTCTTGAAGCAAATCATTAACATAGGACTGCCAATTATTGCTTGGTAATTTCTTCTCAACCATTGCAGAAAGAACAACATCTTTTACAAATTCAGCAGCTTTGAAGAGTAGAGGCGGCAACCAGAGGCGTTCGTCCAGATAAAGGGATACAATCAATCTACTAAGAGGTTGCAGCAGACATGGAACAAGAAAAGTGTGTAGAGGTGCTGAAACCACGTCATTTGCAACCATTCCAGCTTCTCGACGTGAACATGGAGGTGGTGCACATGTAAGAGCCTCTACCCAATCCCTCTCCTCCACCTTAAAATTGGGAAGAGGGGGACATGAAGCATTGGGCACCTTTACAACAGCAGAGAGTCGCTTATGCAAGGGAAAGCTCCTTTTTAGAGCAATTATGGCAGCCTGAGTACACAGAGCCTGCAAATCAGCACCAGCAAAGCCCACTGTCTTGCTAGCTATCCACTTGAGTACTGGTCCAGACACTGGCTTAGGCCATTTCTTTGTATGCAATGAAAGAATAGATTCTCTGTCCTTAACAGATGGAAGTGGAAAATAAATCTCACGATCAAACCTACCCGGACGCCTTAATGCGGGATCAACAGCATCCGGACGATTTGTGGCACCTATTACTACTACTGAACCTCTAGATTTTAAACCATCCATTAGAGCAAGCAAAGTGGACACGACCGAACTATGTGTCTGGTCTTGCTGCCTACCACGGCAAGGTGCCAAACCATCTATTTCATCGAAGAAAATGACAGAAGGTTGAGATTTCTCGGCTACCTGAAAAAGAAGTCTTAGCTGACGCTCAGCATCCCCGACATACTTCCCCAAACAATCTGCCCCTTTACGAGCAAAATATGCTATTCGTTTATCGCCGCGTGCACATGAACCAATCAGTGCCCGTACTATCAAAGTTTTACCTGTCCCAGGATATCCGTGCAAAAGAACTCCTCTAGGAGGTGTAAGCCCCAGAGAACTAAAGAGCTCAGGATACAAAAGTGGTAAGATGACAACCTCTTTCATACATTGGATGACATCGTGGAGCCCGGCAACAGAGTCCCAACCCTGAAACTGTACACCAGCATCGGAGTTTGAACCTCCAATATATACAGGCGCAATTCTCAATAGATCTCGATGAAGTCTTTTGCTTTCACGTTTCAAAAACTCCTCATCCTCTCCACAGTTCTCTAACCATTTTTCCTCTGCATCAACATCCTTGCGCAATGCTTCATTTGACAACTTCCTCAGCTCAAACTTCATTTTTCTAGCTTTCAATTTCTTTATACGTTGCAAATAATTACTTCCATATGGTTGGAAGAGATGTCGGTGATCTGTACAGGCAATGAGAAATTTACGATGGTCAAAGATGCAGCCATTTGCCCGTGCACAAGGCTGCAAAATTTAACACATGCTTAGTCAAAAGATAATATTACAAAGACAAAAAGTGAGGTAATCAAGATATATAGATACAATAAAAAAAGCAATGACCAAAAAGTAAGTAATACCAATGGTGGTCTATGCTGAGTTTTTGAAGTATGAAATGATTCAGCAAATTTAAACTAACCAGGTGATAAGTTTTGGGACATCTATCAACACGGCAACCAATTGTTGCCCCAGGCCTTCCACAGCGGCTACATTTTAAGACCCTTCCCCTGCAGAGCGCTGCTCTAACGTTTTTCAAGCATCCCAAGCCAGCAAAATAAACCTGAGAGCACAAGTAAAAGATGTATTGGATCCTTGCCCATGAAACTATTGACTTGAACAATTGAGTGCCCAATCAGGAAAAGAATCCAGATAGCATGAAATTCAATGAATGCCATATACCAATAGAAACTGAAATCAAACAGTTCAGTCTGTTGCTTACTTTATACTAGCACAATGCATCCCACAGATGATAATAGCAAGGCCTAATAACTTTTTAAACACACCATTGAGCAGTAATGGAGAAAAATCATCAATCAACTACGCCTTGGTCCATAGCTAGTTGGGGTTGGCTATTTTCAATATTCATTCCTATCTTTTTGGACACAAATATTTATGAAAAGATAATCAATTGAGAAAAATTCAAAACCACACAACTGCTAAAATTGTCTCAAGTATGCCATGGAACTGATAATTAACTCCTCATCCATGCTAAGAGCAACAGTTATAATAGTTCAAAAAACCTTATCCTTCCTTAAGAAGACATGCCTATTGCACTTGTTTCAAATCGTCTCTTCCAAAAAATTAACTACTCTTTTTTTCTCAAAAGGAATAAGAAATATTGAAAAGGAAATGCATGTTCATTCTTCTTTCTGAAACAAAAAATGGAAATGCTTGATCTTAATTTTCTAGTATGCCCAGTTGGAGTAGGCAGTCTAATTTCAATAATTATTAAATTTGAAGACATAGATCAAGGAAAATGCAATTGAGAAGGGAAACGGAACATACCTCTGGGCTCCACACAGCACATTGCTGATGCACCCAAATCCCAGCTATACCATATCGATCATTTATGGGCCCCAAGAGGCGTCCAAGCCAGCCAGGTTCATCACCAAATCCATCCCACATGTCATAGTTAGGTTCATCAGAAGCAGAGGACCCACTGCGTTCTTCATCATCACTGGCAGCCCCATAAACTAGCTTTTTTGGAGGTTTACCATCAGTACCTCCTCCACACAAACCACAATGTCTTCCCTCTCTTATTCGCCGCTTTCTCAAATTATTATCAGAAGGACATTCTTTCTTGACCACCTTCTCCATTTCCAGAGCTTTATCACTAAAAACACCTTCATCTTTTTCCTGGGCATAATCAACTCTGTCAACTTCAACTTCAGCTTGTTTCTCTGTGCCTCCATCTTTTTCCTGGGCAAAATCAACTCTGTCAACTTCATCTTGAGCTTCTTTCTCTGTGCCTTCATCTTTTTCATCATTAGGAAGTAAACCACCTTCCACACCATCCTTTTGGTCATTCACCCAAACACTCATTTCATTTCTTCTTTGCAAATCCTGTTCCAGCATACTCACCTGGTCAGCCGTGTGGAATTCTTCTGGCTCTACACAAGTCTCTAACTGAGCCTTGTCTTCATTATCTAACGGCAATGCCACATTGCCATCCTCAACCCCCTCCTTAAATCTAGTTGTTGAAATGCTGTCATCTGTTTCATCCCTCACATGTAGCAGCTCCTCCTGGTCTATCATCTTACCATCCTCCACACCACCACCTGTACCAGTTTCTTGCTGCTCAGTAACCCTTACATTTGAAGCTTTTATTCTTCCAGGTCTCTTCGACTTAACTATAGTTGACTTTTCACATTCACTATCTTCTTCTTTATCCAACTCTGCAACCTCTAACTCTGTTTCTTCCTTCAGCTCGTCAACATCTTGAAAAATCTTCCTTTTACCCACCGGAGACGAATCCACACTGTTCCTCACTCTATTATTCATTCTCTTACTCCTAGCTCTCAATCTCAATCCCCAAGCACTAGTGCCTTCTTCCAAATGGTTGGAAGTTGAACAAGGTGACTCCACCTTCACCATATCTCCTTTCTCCAACCTGCTACTACTTCTCACCCCACTCCTATCAATCTTCTGGCGCTTCCTCGCAGGATGAGGCGATGCATCAAGCACAACAGGAGCTTTTCTAACCCTAGAGCTCCTCCGTAGCTCAACCTCACTCTCCTCACCATTCCACTCACTCGTCTCAACTTTATCAACACCATTATGGTTCTGATTATACGTTTCTTCACAGACTTCATCTAGTCTTTTATGTTTCTTCCTAGCCCTAGAATACACCAATTTCGTATCCGACCTACTCCTCTCAAACGACGCTATCCGCGAAAATCGCATGACAATAACAACCACCAACCTCCTAATATATATCTCTACGTTAATTTAACAGTCTCTACACCTATATAACAATATATCCTCGTTTCAACAATCAAATCAAAATCCCTATCTAATATCATCCAATAAACACCAATGACAATCAAATCTCCTCGTTTTTTCTTCAATTAAACCTCTGAAAAAACATAAATTAGCAAAAACAATACAACTAACCTTCGATTGATTGATCAAAAACCACAATACCAACCGAAAAAACACTTGAAAATCATCGATTCTCCTTCTTACTCTTCCGATTAGGGTTTCGTCTGCTCCATTTCTCTCAATGATTTTTCTCTTTTTTCGCTGAAATTTCTCTGAGTTTAACAAAACGAAGACTGGGGGCGGAGGTATATAGAAGAAAAGGGTTCTCACTTGAAAGCGTAGTGAGATAAATCACTTTATATACACGCGCGTTAATCGAACGTGTATATCACATACAGTAGGTGGTTTTTTATTGGAGTTGATTTGTGAATGTGTATACCACGCTCTTAGCTGATGCGCGTGTGTTATATAAAACAGAGTGATTTTGCAAATTTTATTGGTATTTCGCACCAAACGTTACCGCCAAATAGATTTTCTTTTCGTATATAAAGGGTGTTGAGTTTCAATTTTTTTTTTCCACAATTACGGAAAGTTTTTTCAAGTAATAGGGCTGGTAGGAGAGAGCCACTAATAACAAAAATAAAAGTGAATATGACCAAATTACCCTTGTTTTTTAAAAATCGTTTAAATTTGGGTGTTATTAAGATAGTTGAGTTATACCGTTATTTATTTAAATATATATTGTTATTCACTAACGTATAGAAATGTTCTAACGCGTTAGAGTGTTTCTGATAAAAATAAAAGGGGAAAAGACCAAACTACCCTGACATTTGTGCAATGGTCTAAATTACGTGTCGATAATATAATCGACTCAGTTATATCGTAATCATTATTAGATTTATTTAAGTATATCCTTAGCTACTAACGGCTAAAAGTGTTAAACGTATGAGACTATTTCTAAATTTAAAAAAAGTGAAAAGGTCCAAACTACCCTTGATTTTTTGTCGAATGATTTAAATTTGTGTCGTTAATATCGTCAAGTCAAATATACCTTACTTATTATTTATGATATTTATTAGGATATATTCTTATTCTAATAATTAAAGAGTTCACCACGCAAAATTGTTTCACGATGAAAACTAGTGTCATCAAACTATGTGATGTTATCTAGATTTGTTGTTAAAGTTTGTGAAATTGTGCATATTTCATTTTTCTTGATCATATTTTATCTTCATTTAAAATCACCAACCCAAAATCATTTGAACACCATCTTAAGTCTATTTTGGGATTAGGAGTTTGATGTAGATCTTTGGCAACGCCATTGATTTGTTAATAGGAGAATGGTAGGTAATGGTTTGACAAAGATAATTATTTTTTAATTTAATAATAGTAATTATTCATTATTCGAGTTTTAATGATTTGAAACATGAAGGTGATTAATTGGAGCAAGAGAACAACGATTTTATCCGTCGAGTGTTTTAAATATTGAAGAAGAAAATATTACTTCTTGTTTTTAAAAAGAAATTTAGACAAACTTTTTGTGACATGTAATCATGTACAATTAACCCCAAGGATTACTAAAGACAAATTTAAATTATTCTACAAAGTTCAGAATTGAAGATGTCAATGTTTTGTTTCGGTTTAGATTTGGACGACATTTTTAAGAATTTATTTGTTCAGATTTCAGATTAATTTTATAATGAATATGTTTATTACTTTCTTGAAAAAAAACGTTTCTTAATCCTATCGCACGTGGTTATTGAACAGAATCTTTTCTTGCAAATGTATATACGTAATGAGAAATTAAATAGTGGAAACCTATGGTACTCATACCATTTGCCGGCTAAAAAGGAACATGTTTACAAAGATATAGGGAAATGAAAAATAAACAAATAAATGAACCAACAAAAAACTCTTGGAGCTTTCAAATTACACATTAGAATAGGCTATACAAAATAACTTTAGCTCAATTTGGATTTAGTTTTCTACAACATGAAAAAAGGAAAGAATTTTTTCGTGGTGTCTAAATTGGGTTCGAAAGAATCAAATAAACTATCTTTTCTAGAACTTAGAATCCATAAACTTAGAAGAATCTAATTTTGTCTCCCCTTTACGCTAAATCATTATAATCATACTATTAGCTATGTACATGAAAAAGGACAGATAATATCACTGTTGATCAAGTACTTAAGTGCAACTCCAAGAGGCAGCCTTGGATTAAAAGGAACTCTAACTAGTTTTTAGCTCAATTAACTGTTCTACCCTGTTACCAAGAACAAATATGATAATACATGCATATACATTTGATGATTGCAAGAGCAAAGAGAGAACAATTAGTATAAAAAAAATAGAACAAATCCATAGAACCAACCCAAGTGCCCAACCAATCAAGAAAGATTTGTGATTGTCCAAGTTAAGAACTCCACTAACAATTGAAAGGAAATGATATTAATGTAAAAACACTGATGCAAGTCTCCACAAATAGTCTTTTGTGTTTACCTTTTTGGTCTTGGATGGGTTTGGGCGCATGGGTTGGTGTGATGCTTCGCAAAAAAAAACAGACCTCAACTGAAGCTTGGGAACATTAGGTGATGTTGCATAATGGTTCAGCAGGAAGTGGTTATACTATGCGATTCTTAAAAAGAAATTCAACGTTCTCAGGAGAACGGGGGTTTCTTTTAGCTGTTAGCTGCAAAAGGACACCATCAGTTAGCATGTGGTGTATTACTCTTGCTATGTTTTTTGAATCGTCTATTCCAAGGTGATGGCTTCCAGACAAAGGAATTTGGAGTTCCCTCATCATTGAGAGCATTCCTGGCGCCTACCATCAATGAAGTAAAACCATACTTGCGGTTATATATTTCAATAAGTATACAAAAAAGAAAAGGAATTTTTAGAAGTTTGCACTCACCCTCCTCTTGTAGAAGTTCAGAAACACATCCTTCAGATTAATCCATTCCATGAAATATGGTGGCAATTTCATCCCTGCTACGGTGCACTGCTGGGGAACTTTAGTCTTCAGATCCCAGTTCCCACTGCCGTACACAAATTGAGCTCAGTCACTCAGAAGTACTTAGTCATACCCCCTCCTTGTTTTACATTGGATATAAATACAAATGCTAATGCCAAAATACTCAAATATGAAAGATGGGGTTAAATGTAGCGTTATTCTGACTTCATGATATACCCTTAAATTAATATGTAATACAAGTTGTGCAGTAAAAATGAAGATACATGTGCTACCAAATATGAAGCTCTAACATCGGCTAGTACAGCTAAAAACAGGTAATTCTCCGGTTAGTGACAAATGCACCACAAGAAAGTAGCTGGAGCACCTTTTAGGATATAAGCAACTCCCAAGTCATCCACATAGGACACAACAAACCCAAACGACTTTTCTCACCCATTTATATTTTGCATCATTAACTATAATATCAGATAATAGTTTAACTATCAACTGATAGTTAACCAGTAGCATTTATTTAATATTTCATACTTTCATAGCAATGACTCACCAAGTAACAAAGGCAGCATTATTGAGACAGCCACCCAGTTCATTTCTCCACAACTGGCGTTCACCTAGCCAAACCTCAAACTGCACAATAACTTCTGCAAATGGTATAGCTGTATCATGCCAGACACTGCATGCATTGACATACATGCAAATGAACCAACATTAAGAGTCAAATTCAGGAATTAACAACTGTTGCATAAATGATGTGTGCTTCCGTGGTTAATTGGAATTAATTCCTTTCAGCAATTAAGCATGCATAGTGATCCAATTTTTTCTTCCTCGCCATTGTCCTTCACTAGAAAAATCCAAATATGGAAATCCTTTTAGCTATCTTGATGATTTAACAACAGGTTTGGATCTTTAAGTATGTTTCCTATAGCTACGCTCCTTGATGCCACTTTCTCGTGAATATATCTTATTAAGACGGTAACGTAGCTAATAAGAATTGGAACATTACAAGGTGTAGGAGGATAATGTGTCCGCAACTTTATCCTAAGCATACATGCTGCTTCCGTATCTGAACCCATGACATTCATGCAATAATAAATAGCTATCACAAAGTAGTGAAGGAACTCATTCTTATGTTCATGGAAAAGAAGGAAAGATAATGAAGACTTTGAAAACGGTAAAGCAATGCCAATAGTAGACTCTTTTTTTTCTGAGAATGGAATGCCAATAGTAGACTCAGCACACACAAGTGAGACCCATAAGAGAGATGATCCATGTGATACATCAACACTGCAATTCTTCATATAAAAGCAAAAGATGCAACGTGCCAAGCGCTGAATTGTATTTCAATCTAATGTAGTAGTTACCATACCGATCAACTCCTAGCTTTCCATATTTCCCCTCTATATATTGATTTATTCTTTCTTCGTGCATTTTTGTTGGCCTCACAAACCTGTAGCGATACCCAAAAAGAAAGAATTAAGATGGATCTAGTCTAATAGAACACAACGCTATTTCCAACATTGAAACATAGTCTTTCACTGATGTGAAAAAAGTTTAAACACAATAATCTAACAAACAAGTGGCGGAGACAGGAATTCAAACAAGGGGATTTTAAGAAAAGAATTCTTATACTTGGAGGATTCAACAACATATATATATATGCTAAAAGAATCATGATTGTCTATTTACATAGTTTAGTTTTCAATGAAAGGGGTTCAATTGAACCCCCTTGCAATCCTATGCCACCGTCCATGTAACAAACCTTAATACACCATACAATCAATCATATGGACTTTTCCACATCATGCTGTAGAAATATGATATGACAGATCTCATCGAACAGCTTCCAGTTAAAGGTGGCAAATACATACCAAACTGCCAATACATACGACATAACATAAAACAAAATGAAGCTTGGATGAGTTTCTAGGAATGGGTAATACCACCCATTGAATGTGAAGAATGGGTAGCAGACTAATTTAATAGATCTAATTGATCAGTAACACAGTTTAGAGAAGCAGATTCTGTTATATAGGTAACAAACATCCCCCTCCTTCAAACTTGTGAAACCCTAACAGCCAATGGCTTGTTTCCGGTTTCTTCCTCTGCTTCCTAAGAGAACCAAGACTTGTCCAGGCAGCCAAATTCGCTTGCAAAATATTAATGCACATGCAGCTCATCACTCCCTTGCGGTTGTGCATTTGAAAAGTATATGTGACATTCTCTCTCAAAATATTGTAAAAAGCTTTGTCGACTCTTTTACAGTGTTATTTTCATTTGACCCCTCTAGCAATTATCATTTTCATATCAAAGAATAGACCTCCCAAAGCAAATTCAATAGTTATACTTGCATCAGAAGTGTATCTTTATGACTTTTCCTACCTTAGTCCTGCTTGTGTTTCTCTACAACTATTTTATCAGTCAAATTATTGTTGAAGAATCCACTTCGATAATTTGATTACGTGTGCATTCTGGGAAGTTCTAC